CCCCTTACAGCATTTGTTTGTGAGCTGATTAAAAACTCGTGAGGCGAAGCTCAAGGTGTTTCTAAAACTGCACTGTTAAACAAACAATTAGATGTGAGTAAAAACCCAAAACCATCAAAGTGTTACTGTCCTCTTACTGAAGTTGTGAAAATTTCGAATTTCCATAAACGTGACAGTCTAACGTTCAGAGTCGGAAAGAGGACTTTTAAGTGCGAATGACGTGCTGAAGTTTCCGTTATTTTTCTGTTTCAGTAGTCAATAGATTATGAATATATAACCGGAAGGCTGACCGACAGAACGTAAACAAGGCTAGTTTCCCGTGATTTAATTAATTCCCGGTACACTTTTCTGTTCTCAGTTGATCATTACGTAAAACAGGAAGATGTGCAGCATTAGCCTGGCGTTTTCTAATACCTGTAATATGTACGAATCTATCTCCCGCTTCTATTCCTACCCTTACATACTTCCTAATGTGTCGTTATTACATACTCCCTAATGTGTTGTTTAAACGTACGTTCTAAATTCAATTTGACTATTGATTGTTATTTAAACAATGTTATGACGTCATCATGAAACTGAAACACGTACACAGGGACTTCAACGGAAGTCGTAGGTGTTGACGTCCATGAGAGTTAAATCAGCAATACACAGAGGTTAAGTTAAGAGCTGCATGTACCGGACATTCTATTGAAATCGTGCAATTTTATTGTAAGAAATTCAAATATTGTCAGTTTAGAAATTGTGTAAATCTAATAAAAACTAATATAATTGATTTATAATAAATTATGGGATAAACAGTATTTTTAATTATTTCCATTTCATATGAGATGTATAAATTTCATCACGAACTTTTCATTTGAACTCCACAGAGGTTCGGTAAAAATGCAAGGATATGTTTTTTATGTGCAATACGGATACAGATTGATGGAACGGTCTTTTATATATTCCTATAAAGAAACATTAACTTTGTAGTTAATCCCCGCCGCCATCCAAACTGACTGGAGTTGGATTTTTTTCTATCGTTCTTTAGCTATTTGCATCGGAACTGTACCTTCTGTTGGATTATTTTTAAGACTACAAGAAACATTCATACTTTAGCCATAATCAGAAAACGTATTGCGACATTTTATTATTGAAGTTTCTATAAACTGCTTATATGGCAATGTGGGCGCCCGAATTAAAAATGGCGCTTATTTACCCAAAAGTGATTAAGCGCCAACACTTGATTGCGCCATAATGACAACGTCTACAGTAACGATTCCGTCAATAACAAAACTTGACAGCAATTGACAACAACATGGCGCATAGTTCAAGTCATTCGTCGGTGTCTTGCCATTGTGTGGGTGAAGCAATTGGACCTGCAAATGCCAGCCAACAAATCAACGTTCAAGGAATTATTGTTGCATAGACGACGTGTTCCTTTTAACACTCGTATGAGGATTTATTTTTGTTTTCATATTTATGTCCAAAACTATTTCACCGTAAGAGGTATGACCTTCATAATTGGCATGCTCATTTCCACCTTTCCGGTGGTACCAATATTTTGACCATGTGACCCTGAATCGTAACCTTTGACATTCCAAAGTAAAAAAAAAAAAAATATTACCACAATGAAGACAAGTGTTTCACAAAGTATGCAGGCAATTAGCACATGCCTTACACAGCACAGTTTTAATGTCCTACTTCAGAATTTCGTTGCAACCGGAGGCATAGTGTTTCTTAAACACTTCTTGTTTTTAACTTACTTTAGTCGAATGCAGACTGTTTTACTAGTTATAACATTGTATAAAAACATTTAACACCTACGTATATGTTCTAACATACCGGGATGAATGTCTTTGTAGAAATGTTTAATCAACGACAAAGGTAGCACGAACGTTGATTTATATATAAAAAAGACGCTGTGAACAATTAAAAAGCAAAGATGAAAGTACATTCATACAAATGTGTGAAAAATTAACATGTTGTGATCTTTTAAGAATTATTTTTTATATATAAAATATTGATAAAAATCCACCAGCTTTCAGAAAACGTTACATGTTCTGAGTAACCGCCGCAATTTATTTTCTGAAATAACCAATAAAACATTCTGCTGGACTGTCAGGCATGTGCTAATTGCATGGATATTGGCTTGTTTTACCACTATAGATATCTCTTTGAACATTTTGTTTAAGTTTGAAAAGAACATCAAAGATAGTTCACGTGGGTATGGTATGTATTATTATACCAGTGTTTTAATAGATATCCGTAAATTCATCAGTTAGTACTGCGTTAAATATGAAATAATGCTTATCTGCCAAAATGATATCTATTTTGTAGAAACTGATTTATATGAAAAACAACTGCTTGATGTTCATAAGCAAAGAAGAATAAACTAAAACCCAGAGCTTCTGTGACTGAATGTATAGTGGCCCGTGGTTCTGACAATAATTTTTTCTGCTTCTTTCTTCTTGTTTGCTTTTGAAAACCAACCAGTTGTGTTAAGTCAATTATCAAGCTGACATTTACATAAAACATATTTATTGAAGCTTCATACAATGTCTTCCACAACTTAATGTTCTATCGAAGGCAGTGTATTTTTCACGCCTTTGAATAAGAGTTTAATGATGAACAAAATTTCTTTTCGTCCACAAGTGCAAGAGAGACAACTCCTATATGGATGTTCACGGAACAGAAGACATACCATCTGTCAATCGACACGTATTTCCCAAAGGTTTCCGGGAGGACAGGCCTTCGGTATCTATTCCATCTATCTTCTCCTTTTCGAAAATAAGATATGATATACATACCTTTTGTAAATTGATTAGTTTGATCGAATTTAAAAACAATTTAGTTTAAAAAAAATGCTTCATTAAATCCAAAAATATGAAGACGCAAAGTCCATAGCATAAAGAGCACACTTTTAATGGCGTCGTGGTAAGTAATTGGCTATAAATTATTCATTCATCAATTTTGGATGAGCTTTAATCTAAAAACAAATCATAGCAAATAATCCACAAAACTGTTCGTGGTTTTCTCTTTGTCAAAAATCTCCATGTAAATCGTTTATATATTTGCCTTCTTTTCAAAAAGTTCTTGTTGTTTAAACCTATGATTTCACCTTTCTGCACTAAATAGAGCAGCCAACATATTTTCAGTAAATAATTGTGTGGGTTTTTTGTTTGTTTTTTTACACAAATAAGCCAAGGCTATCCCAACTTTATAGAGGACGAGCTCTCGCAATATTCATGGTAGGTATCACTCAACAGCAAGACGCTACTCACTTTGGAGTTCACAAACCGGTTAGTTTGACGTCTCAACACCATGGGGGAGTTGATAACAGACCGAGATCCGACGTCCACGTGTAATGTCGCGACCCGACACCTCAACGTCGAGCACGCCGTTGCGATAGCTGACGGCAATTGTGCCCAGAAGTTTCCCTGTGAGACGTTGGAGGTCCATGCCCTTCATGGATGAATCTTGATCGACGTCATTTCGATCAGATGGCCGTCAATGTTTGTATCAGGTGGCCGTCAATGTGTGTACCGGCGTCGACGAGAGCGTCTTGCAAACGCTTGTGTTTTGGAGTACGACAAATATGGGAATGGATAGGTTATGGGTTGGGGAGGAATTTCCAATGGTTAAACGACACCTTTAGTGATCATTAACGGGAATTTAATGACTGTACGCCATCGAGATCAGATCCTGAGGCCTCATGTTTTTGTCCTTTCAGCATGAAAACGCTAGGCCACACATTGCAGGAGTTTGTAGTGACTTTCTTGCAACCCAAAACGTCGTACCTATTTTTTGCCTCCATATAGCCCTAATTGGTCCCAATTGAGCACTTGTGGGATGAATTAAACAGGACAGTTTGGAATCGAGCAAACATCCCCAATAACCTCCGCCAACCGACCAACGCACTTACCGAGGAATTGAAAAACATTCCTCTATCGACAGTTAACGTCCTTGTGAACTCCATGCCACGCAGAATTATAGACGCTAAAGCTGTTCGGGTAGGGGCATACACTGCCATTATTTCAACTCTGTATATTAGGGTACCCTCATTCATGGCGGCCTTATGAAGTCCTAAAATCTCAGAAAATGTGAAGATGGATCTCCCATTACTCGAAGATAACTAATGTATTTCACATTTAGGCATATTGTATTTCTTTCTAGTACAGTGACAACAGAATGAAAGAGAGTTTTCCAGATGTAAACAATATTGACAACTTCATCAACGTTTTCTCTTAACCCTGAAACAAAACGACGGAAATAGCTTTCCTGGAGCATGACATTGGTTTAGCCAATAATGTGATCTCATATCGTGATGATAATGGGACGAGCTCAACAGGAAGACAACCAAGATACGACAGCTTGCTCTAATGAATTGTAATGAATTGTATAAACATTGCCCCATACACATCGTTTAATTCGCTACTGACAGCGACAGGTGTAGTGTAAAGTAGTGCATGATTCCACTTGATAAAGCTGCAAACAAGGTCGGAACCTTTCAATATATCGATGTTTTCCATTTCGAGTTATACGCATTATTTACAAAAAGATAACCTACCCATTGTACTTTGGACCTCGGCGGGTTGAGAGTTGGTATGATATAGTGACAATACTACGTCTCAATTTGCCAATTCGGTAAAAGCGATGGAGAAGACATGTAATGTTATGTTATAAGGATAAGGTAAGTTAAAGTTTTATAACACTGATTTGTATCATATAATTTTATGTTGTCTTTCAAATAATGAAGGTTACAATATTACAATATTTTTAACATTAGGAAAGTTCTTGAACAGTCTTGGACCGTGAAGAACCGTTCTTGTTTACTTTGTAGATAAAATTTCTCAATGTAAAACTAAAAAACTAAAAAAAAGTATTGAAATTTTGATATCTAAGTAACAAGTTTACATGATTCATAGGTTATTGTACCGAGAAAAAATATCTCTTTTAATAGTTTAATGTAGTTTAAAGAAGTACACTTATACTCTCCATATTTCTGTTCAGACAGAATCATGAGCCCTTGTTCTATAAACGCGACGGATCTAGAATTCCTCCCAACAGACACGAATTCCTCCCTGCTCCAGGTCACGCGCTGGATGAATTTCTGCCGAACTGTGTATGTAGAAAAATGTGATGTTTACTCAATGACCCCGCCTCCAAGAGATATCCCAGCGATGTTCATGAATGCCTCGTACGACGACTGTTTTAATACGAGAACTCTGGTTGTCTACTGCATATCAATCATCTTGAGTTCAGCAATTATCTGTACCAACACTGCTATACTGATCGTTTTCTTGCGTTTTCGAGCTTTGAGAACTAGCTCCAACATTCCTATCATGAGTTTAGCCATATCTGACTTCCTGACCGGCGTTGCGTTCACATACTCATCAGTTTGGAATCTCGTACTGCTTTCGTCCGGTTATTCATTCGACATTGAACAAACAATGTCCTACATTCGCATGCGCACTAATTACTTCCTGTGTTTAACCCTCGACGGAACAGGATTGCTTTTCACCTGTTTGATGTCGTCAGTTTTGACACTTGGTGTAATAGCAGTAGAAAGACACATTGGCGTGTTTTATCCCTTCAAGTACACCCAGTGGATAACAACCAGACGCATGGTTCGGATCATCCTCTCGGTTTGGTTTGTCTCACTCATTGTCGGTGTCTTGCCATTGTGTGGATGGAACAAATGGGACAACAAATGCCAGCTGACAGAAGTTTTGGACTATTCCTACATCGTTATGTGGACATCCATTTGCTTCTTGAGTGGTGTTATCATGCTTTACATCTATTTGAGAATATTCATCCTCTCCCGCAAACACAGTCGCCAAATTGCAGCCGTTCAAGTTTCATCCCGATCCTGTTCCGTTAGTGCACCGAGTACTTATGTGAACGATGTAGCTTCACCGGCCGTCAGAGAATCGTCATCAGAAGACCGAACTGATCAAGAGGCGTCTAACGTTGAAGAAGCTGGAAGTCCTGATGCAACGGAGATCGATGTCGAAACAGGAAACATACTAATATCGATCCAGGGTTTAAAAAAGACAATGTTTATCATACCGTCAACACAGGAAACTCCGGGACAAAATACCTCAGATCCAGAGACGGATAGCCCGGTGTTACACAACACATCCCCACCAGAAACATCGAATTCTTCTGCTGTACCTGAAAGTCGTCCTAACATCCAACACAGGACCAGCAGGCGCGCGCTGGTGACCACTACTATCATTTTGGGCGCCTTCTATTCGTGTTGGTCTCCGCTGTTGGTGTATCTGGTGGCTTATGACAAGGTTACTGTAACCATGAACCTGACTACATATTACCTTGCCGTGATCACACAGTTAAACTCCATCTTCAATCCCATCGTGTACGGTATCCGGAATCCAGACATTAGAGAGGCACTCCTCCGATTGTTCCGCTGTAGAAACTGAGTTCTGCTTGTACAGAATATCGTCATGAGCAGAGGAACAGTTAACAGTGGTGAAGGGGGACGGGGGGACAAGTATAATATATTCTAAAACACAACATAAAGCACAAACCTTCAGAAATTTTGAGCATGTCCCTGTGAGCATGAGGACCACATCTGCCCACAGCTGTGGATTACGTTAGAAAATACGGTGTTCCCGAGAGATAACAAAGCGGGTCAGAAAGTGATCTTTACCACAAGGGAAAGTTACGGCTTTCGACAATGTCACCTACAAAGACAAAGAAATTTCTGTCTCAAGAATGAAATATTGACTATTCGAATACCGAGACTAACATTGCAGTGAGCACAGTCAGCAATTCCGTGTCCATCCTATGCCGATTGTTTGAGAAACTTTTAGATCTGTTCAGAGAACATTTCAGCCATAGAAATCAAGATGTTTTTTGTGATACCACAACTAAACCATCGTGTCAGGCATTACTTCCAGCGCAGTCATGAAGAATATGAAAGTTCGAAGTTAACTAGTAACAGAAATTAATTCTATCATGCATGAGCGAGTTTCTGACGTATGACAAGAGCAGGAGTATATGATCAACGACCTAGAAATCGACAGAAACAATTACAGACAGTAATAGTTATTAACTTATATAATGTAATGTTTATGTTAATATCTTAATTCTTATTCCCTCCATAAACATCAAGATAACAAGCATATATTCAAAACGCAGAACATGAAAAAGATATGAACAAAATGGCGCTGTCGCTTATGATCGTAAGAAAACTGTCAAACAGCAGTTTAAAGGGACATCACTGTAACAACATTAATTTTGTTTTAAATACTTACATTTAAGTTTCTATGCTATCCCGATATTCACAGTCGATTTCTAAGGTTAAGCTTGACCACTTCTTTGCTTCGAGTTACCCTTCACAATTTTAGCGTTGATAACGTCACGTAATAATTCTGAAAATGAGGCAGCGCGTGAAAGCGAACAAAAATGGCAGCGACAGCAGTGAGACAGTAAGCAAAGTCCCGTTTTCAACGCCGGATTTTGTTATGGGTGTGGCAAATGTTATTTGGTAATGCTAAGTCAGTTCAGAATTTCGATATAATGACATTTATCGCCAAATTTTTCTCCGCCGATTTAGAATGGAAACCAGGCGACGGTGTTTTGTGCGTTATCATATATGACGCAAAATTGCACATTTATGTATCTCAGTGTGACTGAGCGAAATAAAATCTGTCTGAAATCTCAAAATCTCTCTAAACTGTTGATCAACCGATAAAGATTTCTTTTTTTATAATAAACCTATTCATGAGAAAACATACAGTAAATATACTCAGAATGTTAGCGTATAAAATTGAGATAAAATCCACCATCTGAGGGAAAATTTGGACTTAATCTTGACCTAATTATAAAGACAGTCACACTATATTGACCTGATTATAAAGATAGTCACATTATCTTGACCTAATTATAAAGATAGTCACACTATCTTGACCTAATTATAAAGATAGTCACATTATCTTGACCTAATTATAAAGATAGTCACACTATCTTGACCTAATTATAAAGATACTCACACTATCTTGACCTAATTATAAAGATATTCATACTTATTTATTTAAAGCTATTTTATATTCTTATGTGTTATTCATTTAATATTCTATAATTTACTAACCATTTGTCATTGTATAGAGAGGATATCATAGGCTATGCGTGTTGTCCACTGTCATCAAAATGCTGTCAATAAAATATTCTGAAATAAAATGCTGTTTTTAAAAATCATATTTTTGTATGTATTCAGTTTAAACAACGAACATTACCGCTCCACAGAAAAACACGAATATCTGTACAAAATCTATCATAAAAATTATATCGGGATTAACTTCATACGACGTGCCTACTGGGGTGATAAAAAATTCCACCTCTGTGATGTGGATAGTTATCTCAACCAGAGGATAATATATATATATGTATATATATATTGCCAGGTATTAATCTTTACAAATAGGCCTGAGATAACTTAGTCTACATGACACAGAGGTGATCGATCTTTTCTGTCTTACACAAATGCCTAAAGTTGATGTGAAAAGTATGTAGCACGTCATCATTAACGATCCGTGACTCGTGTGTCGAATTTAAGGGCATGACATAATCCCGCCTTATTTTTAATGATGTCGCGACCTTACTGTAATTGGCGACGCCAAAGCGCATGTGAACTGTTCCCTAGGAAGTTACCATCTCACGTGTAATTTCAGCGTTTGTTTTTGTTTCATTATTATCATTTATTGATAACATAACATCGACTAAGTGGAAAACAGATATAAAGAGGTCTCTCATACCGTATTTTTGCTCAGCAGGGGGTAAGGGAATAATGTAATGACAAGTCTGAATAAAAATCGGACCAATGATCCGAAAATCAACAAGTTTCTCGAGTAATGATCCGACTGATACTGTAAAGTTGGTAATATTCGTGGTCATCAAAGATAACACGAAATTAAAATACCCACCAAACATTTATAACATAGAATCAAAATATAAGGAAGTCTGTGTTGTGTCTCTATATATAGATATTAATGTATAGACGTGCGCGAAATTTAAATAGCCCAAACTGGAATTACCGTGAAATATTAGCCCGCGAAATTGAACAACCTTACAGTATTCGAATACAATTTAACAGCATATATTTTGAATGCAATCTTATTACAATGCATATATGCACACCGATCCTGTAAATAGGCAAGCATATTGAATGAAGAAGTGTACCTCATCGGATTGGTTCAAGTTACGATTGTACATCTTAATGTTTAAGTGACAAAGTGACAAATAATTCCCTTTAACATATATAACAGACATTGGCAGAATGTTGTATAACTAACATTTGGATAACATATAGAGCTCATTTAAATTCTTATAATTTCCATCCCAGACCATTTCCAACCGTGTTCACAAATAAGACAGCGGTGTAAGGGAGGTAATTCAATCATCCCTAGGTCTCTACTCGGTCTTCATGAATAACACTAGGATAACGGGAGACATATTCTATATTTAGCTAATGACAATATCTAATTACTAGTAATCAGGTGAGAACCAGCGATGACCTAATACAGTTTTTATTCATCTCGTGGTCACAGAGAAAATATCGCTAGCAAGGAACATCACGAGCTAGAAACATGTTGTCTTGAGTTCCACCAGTATCTCCGTTCCTCAGACACCATACAAATGATTTTTAAGTTGACGTTTGGTAACAAATCAGCATAAAGCATTAAGTCACTGTGTTTATTTAACTTATCAAATCGAAATGAAGTAAGCTATTTTTAAATGTATCCTACATCAATGAGAAATACAGGCTACTCGAATCCTTTCGATTTTTTTTCAGTTCTAGAATTCAGTTTTAAAACAATAACATACGTATTTTCCGCACAAATATGTAAGTTTTTTTATTTTTTATTTTCTTTCATTTTTTTGAAGTATCCATTCATTGCTTTCTCAAGGAAAATGCAAGTTTAGATGATCTGGGATTGGTTTACAGGTTAGGTCAATAACACTAGCTGTTACTACCATTAGAAATGTCTATTTTCGCATACATTCCATGAGATCGCTGAATTCGAATAACATTCATCAGCTTGGTATATATGTGTGTGTGTTTAATTCAAAAAGCGATCGTGCTTTTGAAAACTTTTTCTTTGTTAAAGCAAACGGATGTTTTCGAAAGCTAGCAAAATACAATTTTCAAATGCTGTTTATGTTATTAATAAAATATTTGATAGATATACCTCGCCGTCGTTAACTTTTCATCGAAACACGTTCGCTCATTTCGTATTTTTTACAAATGGATTTAATCAAAATGCTTGATAATGTGTGCCACAAATATATAGGCAGTGAACAAGTCTTTCTGGGGGCATTCAATGCTGGACAAAAATACCATGTTGTCCTTTAGTTGAAACATGTAAATCTACACCCGACCCTGTTTAAAAGACTTCAGCGCTTCCTGTGAAATTTTGCAAGAACCGTCATTCTTCACAATTCTAAACCCACAAGTTCAATTAAGTTCAAAAATGCCCCCTGGACCGTTCTTAGTCATACATATTTCCACCTTCTAGGTGTCGTCGATGAAGCAGAAGACGGCTGCTCTTCCGAAACACGCGGTCTTATTTCCATGTACTTTTCCAGGAGTCTCCGTGTAAATCTTTCTGTAGTTCATATTTTACCCTAGTTTTATGAAATCTGAATTTAGATTATGATTATGTTGCCATGTTGGTATTTTCTTTTTAGGAACATCCTCTCAGTAACACCAATGTATACACCAAGTTTCATTGCAAGCAATAAGACAGGTTTCAAATAGTTTGAGAATTTCACCTTGGGTGGGTAATGAGTAATGTGGTATGTTATACATCGGTTACAAAATTCTTAATTTTAAAATTCCACAAAAATATCAATCACACCATGTTCATACATCACAGACCTGCTAGAACATTTATGTAAAAAGCAACACTAGGTCATATCATATCAGACAAACATTTGACTTGGCCCTTGATGAAATAAAATAGGCTTAATCAGAATTCCACAACATGACAGACATTCAATATACACTAATAGCGGTAAAGCTGTCATGTTGATGAAACTTTGCCTCCAGGACAGGTCACTAAGGGCATAATCGTGTGACTACCTATCTCCATGGTCAGCAAGTCACCTGCCCAAATTATCCAGGTCAACGATAAGACAGTTGGACCTCAGAAACAATCCCAAGAATGCATACGTGATTTTGATTGTTAGTATGTTGACTCGTTAAATTCTGATCCACTTTGTCCTTGACCTTTGAACCTAAGGATAACCTTCCACTTTGTCCTTGACCTTTGAATACCCTATGAAGAAATTCATATGAATCATTCTCGCACGAAGCATTTTGTGTCTGCCCATCATATGGATATAGATGATTCTGCCAATTTCATGAATTACTGTACCACGTTCAGGTGTGTGGCACAAACTACAAATTCAAACAGCTATCACCTAGGAGGGGGCAAACAATGACTTTCTATTACAGCCATCATGTACAAAAAAAATTACAATGTGCCAATTTTATAGCAAAGGGCATAAAAAAAAAAAAAAAAAACACAACTCAAAGATATCACGTTTCTTCAGAATTTTAAATCAGAGTAATAAATACAAATATTATCACAAACATTTTAACAATTCATACAAATGTATGCAAAAGAATGGCAACTTCATTTAACTGATAAATATAATGTTAATACATTATCAATTTTATACGTTGAACACAATTGGCGGGTTATGGAACATGAACACACTTAAAAATCTCATTTCCATGGATATCAATTTACTACCATGATCAAACGACTGCTAATCTTAAATGATAATAATCAATGATATTTCCAGTTCAGGAATTTTTTTAAGTCAGTTGTATCTTCATTCAAACATTTGTGCTAAGATAGTAAGGAGATTATGTTAGAATACTATAAAGAAAAATGACCAAAGCACTATTTTGTTCAGACAAAGAATCAGATCTTTTTCACACTAACATCATGATGTCTGCATTCAATGACACTGAACAGATTGCAGTCTCTCTTCACAACCAGATGTCCCAGTCTATGATCCACACATCATGCAGTCCTCTTTATTTTGGAGAGAACACACCATGGCAGCCATCTTGTCATTCAACTCCTCCTTACCAGTTTCTGATTTTTGGGACAACTTTGTTTTGTCTACTGTAAATTGGATAGCTGAGGCAGCTGCCTTGGTACGCAGGTAGTACATACCTGTCTTCAAACCCTGTAAAAAAAGGCAAGTAAATTGAAGTAATTTTCTCAATAACAAGGAAGTCCATTTGTCCATATTTATTAATTTATATAGAATTACAAACAAGTCTGATTCTGAGCTAAGTTTATGTGATGGCCAAATTGTCTTTGATATTAACTCAAAATTGCAATTTTTTTCCAGACTAGCACATTTATTACTGCACTTATAAAATCAGGTAGCTGTACTACTTTGCCATCAGTAAATACCAAGACCGTTGGTCAGTACCAAGCTCACAGAATTTGGTAATTTACAACAATGAAGATTCAGCACTGAAAATTATCACAATACTGTAATTGCTATATGAAGTAGAAATGTGCGTAAGGTTATCAACGGTTTTCAGTGTAAATGGGGATTAGAAAAGATATTTTCCCTACAAAAGACATCACAATATTGCGTCTTTTCCATATAACTACCAACCAGCTTAAAAAATACAACCTCCTAAAATATGTTAACAGAATCATATACACTACGGTTTTAAAAACCGTCTCTTTGAAAACTGTATCAGGGAATCACCAATGCTCGACCACCATTCTCTCAAATTGTTTTATATTTGGTTTTCAAAACCTTGCCTGCCTATCTACCCAGTGGTTATGACAGGTGAGTTTCAGGTATAGAATAGTAACACACAGTATGCTCATATCACTAATCAGAACATTTATCGAGCTATCATGAGAAACTTTCCACTCAAGATTCCCAGTCTTTGCAACGTAAAACCCATACCCAGTTACCTGCAAGTTCATTACATAGTATCAAGAATTCATTAGTACAACTATTAAATTGTCAAGTTTTATCTGTAAAATAGCGGTTTAAAACAGCACTGATTCACTTAGGATCCACGGTACACCAGAGCATCACTAGTGGTGTAACGATAAGTACACTCAACAAAGAATTGCGACAGCTACACTCTCAATAGCAATAGGTTGCTCGCATATTTTTAAGTCAATAACTGTTGTGATAGTTTGTTTATTTATTGATTGTAAGCAATATCTTTTTACTTCAATAAAAACCCACATGAAAGTAAGATTTTGGCACCCACTATTGGGTGTAGCACTAAAGATAAGAACGGCACAATCACTTATTTAGAATATGATCTAATTAACTATATTAGAGAAGGTGGTGACTTCTTTAACTCTGGGTCCGCGTTTTAGTCCATTCTTGAAATGATCTTATATAGGTGGTTGTGCCATTCAAATGATCCATTTCGATATACAATTTTTTCTAAGTTAAACATTCTGATACAGTTTAAGTGTTAGTGACTTTGCCTTAATTCTGGGTTTGAAAATATATTTTAATGGTAAAAAGACTATCGTGATAGTATCGCAACAGTCACGTGTCTATCCTAATAGCAACTTTACTATTACAATACTATCATGATAGTTATTTTTGCCTAGTTAGTCACCCCTATATATCGCACAAGAGATGACTTTCACCCATCACTCTTATGCCCCGTAAATATTAGAAAGTCCTGTCCTGAACATCCAATACTGTTGCCCAATCTGAACGCATATCTATGGCTTGATACAACAGCATAATTCATCTTAAAATATCAGGCAACAAAATCATCACAATCTCCAGCACTATTACAAAGTGCTTAAAAGCCTAATTGGGAAATGAAACTACAGAATTCTACTCACCAGTTTCCAGGCATAGAAGTGCATACTGGTGAGTTTGCCATAGTTTGGTTCCGCGATGTGGACATTGAGTGATTGTGATTGATCAATGAATGCTCCCCGGTCAGCGGCCATCTTGATTACTGTCTTCTGCGAGATCTCCCAAACTGTCTTGTACAATCGTTTGATGTCGTCTGGGATTTCAGGAATATTCTGTTGATAAATCATTGGAAGCCGTGTTAACATCTGTCATAAATTGTAACACATAAAAAGGAGGAGTACTGTTCTTATCATACTTCATCTATACAGAACTGGACATGAAATAAAGTGTTACCAAATCATCACCTTGTACTTCAGTAAATGCACAATATAAACTTTCCTCAGACTATACATGTAATGTAACTTCTTGTGACATCACTCAAGTGAAATCAAGCATACAAATGGAGAACAAAGATAAACAAAGAGTACCGCAAAGCAGAACAAAATACACCCGTGAATATCCAAAACAGCAAAGGGGCATAACTCTTATTCATATCGTCTAATCAAAACCCCATTCAAGAAAACACAATTTCATATCATGGTGATTAAGCCTACCAAGTTTCATAAAGATCAGCTGAAAAATGTTGGAGATCTCCGGACAAATAAAAGTTTACGACAGATGCCGAACTGACAGCGCCATACCATATGTCCTTCTTTTGACGGGCATATAAAAACAGACTTGAAAACTTGTGTCATTTTTCTATCAAATTTGCTTGAAAAATAGATGGTGTGATAAAGAGAATCTTAGACTTGTTTCCATTTGATGAGATTTATGACATTTGTCACAACTTTTTTCATTTTACATAGCGAAAGACTCACCAAAATCGAAAGTTCTTAAAGATTTTTTCCTTAATTCATATATAAAATGGAAACTTGTATAATACCATATCATGTAACTAAGAAATACACCAGGTATTTTATTGCAGAGTTCAAAATATACTATCAGGTCATCATCTGCTTGATCACAGTCACTAGAGACTTCTCATGATGTGGTACTTAATTGTAATCAGAACTGATGGCCAAGAGATCTGATTGTCCCGACTAGATAACACCGCTGTGCCCAGAGGTTTGGCCGCCATGCTCAGAGATAAGATGGCTGTGGCCAGAGCGTATTGCTGTGACTATAGACTTGATCATCGTAACCATCATATAGATCATCACGATAAAATATCTCGGTAAAGTTACTACATGTACCTGTACAGATCCTCCATTTGCTATAAGTTTATTCTTCATGTCATCATTCCATAATCCCTTCTCCGTCAGATCTCTCAGCAGATGTTGGTTCACAACCTAATGGACACAAACATCAAAATTGTTAGGATTTTTTTTTTTTTTTCATTTACTGTAGAATGATTCTAACATGACATAAAATCAAACTGCTGTAATTTTTTTAGAAATATTTCCAGAAACACAAACACCAACTCAGATGGTGCTAAATTTGTTAATGTCATATTAATGGTGTTACCATTATAATAATGACTGTAATATTACAGGGATTTTCACAATCAACAGAGCTAAATGAATTTAAAAACCAATGAATTCTAACCAAAAAGTAAAACTGAAGAAGTCTTAATACCAGAAAAAAAGTATAATCTTTCCCAAATTTGTTAAAGTAAATATCTTTCTTCTCTGATCTAAAAAACCACAACAAATACTTCAATAATCTATTGGAAAATATTGGTGTCAAGTCTTGACAGCCATTGATAAATTTATCTTTGTTGCAAAATAAAACCAAAGAGAGCGGGGACTTAAAACAGACATATCCCCAAACCCCATCATGTACACATATTTTTATTGGCTTAGTGGTCAGTGGTGACTTTTGACCTTTAACCTTGATCATCAAAATCTCATCAGGTGTAAATCTTGATGGTATGATTCTATGGTGTGAAGATGGACCAGATCCATCTAGGGGTTCATGAGATACTTTGTAAACTAGGTTATCATGTGATCATAACCCCCTTACCTCAGTAAGGATAAAATCAAAGCTGAATTTTGAGAAAGAAAAAGACCGCAACACTTGTCAAACTTCTTACTTAGTCACATTTTTTTAGAAAATTATGTACCTGGAATTCTCCCGACAGGACCCTCCTTGTGTAGATGTTACTTGTGTAGGCTTCAATGGACTCGTTGTTCCCCAGGATCTGGGCAGTGGAAGCAGTTGGCATAGGTGCTAACAAAAGACTGTTCCGTACACCATGTCTACAAAGCACAATTCTCATATGAAAGCAATCAGATGAAATTTTATCATAATATCAAGGTAAGGCATTTTCAAATATTTAGCTTTTCCACCGAACTGAAGCAAAACTTATACCAACACTGTAACTTGATACTGTATGTGACAATGCTAAGGGTTACAACTTTTTATATATATTTAAATCATGAAATGTTCACAGCAACTTTTACATTGCACCACCAGGTTAAGGACTTACTTGGCAATTCTGGCACGAAGACCATCCCAATCGTGTTTAGTCGCCTTCACATCCCACATGTCGTGTTGTAAAATCTGTAAAATAAACATGGCCATTCTGAAACACAACTTATTTCCTGCGTTGTAGTGTTAAATCAGTTTTAAGACCTCAAAGAAACAACCTCATACACATTGTATAGACGGTCAGTATAAATGTTTTAGTGTTCAAATTTATTATTTTAGGGAACAATTTATCTATTTTTGCCTAAACTTCATTAGTCAAAGAAATGAACATATGATTCAGTATCTACTAGTGAAATACACTCCTAAAACCTACACTAACACAGTAATATACAACACAAAATCAGAAACACTACCTATTGTGGTAACAATGACAAATGATTTACTGACGAGTTTCTGTTACTATTCAGGGCTCTTGATCTGCCAGCTTTGGGGCCGAAATTCGGCCCCGTTCCCAATGCGAAATAGTATCTTTTTTCCCCAATTTAGACCCAAAGTTTTCCCAATTCTAAGGAAAACACAGCTATTTTTCCCAATTCAAAGGGCCTCGGGGCCCCAGTCCCAAAATGGGGTGAGAGAGCCCTGCTATTATGTATGTTGCACAACCAATGCCAGTGCATTGTGTATGTACATCCAATTTACCTGACAGAAACCAAGGTAAAGTAAATGCTGATAGCATAAACATATAAAACCATGATTATATACTTAAGACTGTTTAAACCAGGCATGGCTAAGACTCTGTTCCTTACCCCTTTGCTGATCGGACATCCTTCGTATGTTTCGTAGGGCCCTAGTTTCTCTGCCAGCTCACAGCTTGCCTCCAATGCACCAAAGTAGATGGTTTCAAATATCTGTTTGTTGAGTTCTTGTGCCTCTGGGCTGTCAAATGGATACCTCATTAAAATGAAGGCATCAGCAAGACCCTGCACTCCAATCCCAATAGGTCTGTGACGGAAGTTGGACTTTTTTGCCTGGAAAGGTGTAGTCATGTAATTAATGTATGTAATTACACATATTAAAGTGGTGTAGTAATGTAATTGATACATGACAGGTTATGTAATTAATATGTAATTACATGTATCAAAGCATAAAACATAAGGTGTGTGCATTACCTACTCCTAACACAAAATTCTCTCATCTCAACATTTCGCTGCAGTTAAAGCAGGCATTTACAAGCTACACAAAGCTAAACACATTCATTGCTATCATCATTTTTTGCCAAATCATTTTGTTTCTGAGAAGACTGGATGCCATGTAAAGACACTTATACCCGGCACAAACATAGAGGAGTTATGTGTCACAGTTTCACTTCGAGTTACTTCAAAAATGTGGTACCATCATAAATAGCTTATCACTTTGACAATCCAAGAAAAATATAACAATCTTTTTAATTGGAAAGAAAACCCAGGCAAAAATATACCAATCATCTCGCAGTAAACGATGTGAAGAGTAAAAACTCACCTCCTCCACAGGATAAAAGTTGATTTCGATGATTTTGTTGAGATTTCTGACAATGACCTTTGTGACCTCCTTTAACTTATTGAAGTCGAACGTCTTGTCTGGTAGTACATACATGTTGAGTGCAATGGACGCCAAGTTACACACAGCCACCTGATGAATGAAGATATTAGACAGCTTGATACAGCAATCAAACCAAAAACAGATTTTTTTCGTTAAGAATATAATTACAAAACATCAGAAACTTCACCCAACATGCATGTACATTAATTTATTCTTCAGCTGACCCTCAGAAAGTTATACAGGTCATTTAAATTTTTAATTCTGTCTCATATTTTCCCTTTTATGAAGTACAAACAAAATCTAACCTCGTCAGGACTGCTGTACTCTACTATCTCTGTACACAGGTTGCTACACTTGATGGTGCCAAGGTTCTGCTGATTAGACTTTCGATTACAGCTGTCCTTGTACAACATGTAGGGGGTACCCGTCTCTGTTTGTGACTCAATGATCGCGTACCACAACTGTTGAGCTTTTATTGACTTGCGACCCTTGCCTTCTTTTTCATATCTGTTAAAATAAAAGTGTTTAAAAACAATGTTTAATCCTAATTTTTCATGTTAAGGAAAAATATTAAAAGTGAAATAAAAAAAATTTTTTCACAAAATTTGACCGATTTTATGTCTGAGGTAGAAACAATCATATGAGCTGCATTATCAGGCTCCATGCACTATAACAAAGAAACCCATATAACAAAGTCGGTTTACAAAGAATGTGGATACGTTAACTAAAACACACCTGAAGGTGATCTAAATTTTCTTACTTTGTGTATAACTCGACAAACTCGTCTCCCCAGCAGTCTGCTAGCCCTGGACATTCAGCGGGACACATGAGCGTCCAATCTTGATTATCCTCAACCCTCTTCATGAACAAGTCCGGGATCCACAGAGCATAAAACAGGTCACGAGCTCGGTTTTCTTCCTTCCCCGTATTTTTCTTGCAGTCCAAAAAGTCAAACACATCACAATGCCATGGCTCCAGGTAAATAGCGAAAGCACCTGGTCTCTGTTTAAATGACAATATCAATATGTCCGTGACTCCTCTACTTTACACCATGTATGACAAAATGGAAAAAAAGTTTATAAATCTCTCTGGAAATGATGACAATGAAGCATTATTTGTGTATCACAATCAAGACATGTCCTAATATGCAAATGAACATGTTTTCTAATTTTTCTTAGACACCGCAAATCAAACAATTTCCCAGCAATTTTCTACACTTAAATATACTATGAAGGGTTTTCAATAAGAGCCGGTCGCCGGCCAATTTGACCGGCTTCTTTGATCATTTTGCCGCCTACACCAATCCAGTTCCATAATAATATTCCGTACACGACTGGCCACCCTACCTCGCCGCGTTGCGGCTCAGGTCAGCTTACTTCGCCAGCCTCCTACTTTCACTACACAGCCTACTACTAACAAAATTATGGAAAACCCTGCTATGATATAATTGTTCTGTATACTGATTTGGTGTCCAATATATGTTTAGAAATGTGAAGCAGTCCACTTCTACCTTATCCTACCTTATTTCCACCTTGGTCCACATATCTGGCTGTATTGTTATACACTCTCAGCATGGGAAGTAGGCCATTGGAAATTCCATTAGTCTATAAAACAGCAATGTGATATGGTGCTATTTATGTTCTGAACATGTTAAGGAAATCAGTCAACATATTATTTGTAGGGTATCCAAAGCAAATGATTTACCCGATACTCTGGGATCAATGTACAATTTAGATGAAGTCCAAAATGTTAACTTGTTTACAGACACATGATGCCACATGAGGGTCACCAGAGGTTTACAGGGTAGACGAGTTTACATTCTAAAAGTATTAAAAGACTGGCATTGATAATGAAATTAGTTTCACATATGTATTAAATACAGGGGAGTACATTTTTCATGCAGTTGCCAAAATATCTTTTAAACATTTAGAACAGGTACAAATTTATTTACCGGTACAGTTAATTACCCTAGAAACTATATAAATAATACGAGCTTTAGAATGAGCTTTCCCTGCATTCCTGACCTGTACTCACCCCAGCAATATAGCTGCCAGTGCCTCTGATGTTGTGAACGTTGAGACCGATACCACCAGCAGACTTTGATATGAGGGCACACTGTTTGAGGGTATCATAAATACCCTCTATACTGTCAGAGTGCATTGTCAGCAAAAAACAACTGCAATACAACACACATGTAAACTTAATTAGTGTTAGCTAGGTTGTGTAAACTTGGTAAGTTTTAGCTAGGTTGTGTAAACTTGGTTCTAGGTTGTGTAAACTTGGTAAGTTTTAGCTAGGTTGTGTAAACTTGGTTCTAGGTTGTATAAACTTGGTAAGTTTTAGCTAGGTTGTGTAAACTTGGTTCTAGGTTGTATAAACTTGGTAAGTTTTAGCTAGGTTGTGTAAACTTGGTTCTAGGTTGTGTAAACTTGGTAAGTTTTAGCTAGGTTGTGTAAACTTGGTTCTAGGTTGTATAAACTTGGTAAGTTTTAGCTAGGTTGTGTAAACTTGGTTCTAGGTTGTATAAACTTGGTAAGTTTTAGCTAGGTTGTGTAAACTTGGTTCTAGGTTGTATAAACTTGGTAAGTTTTAGCAAGGTTGTGTAAACTTGGTTCTAGGTTGTATAAACTTGGTAAGTTTTAGCTGGGTTGTGTAAACTTGGTTCTAGGTTGTGTAAACTTGGTAAGTTTTAGCTAGGTTGTGTAAACTTGGTTCTAGGTTGTATAAACTTGGTAAGTTTTAGCTAGGTTGTGTAAACTTGGTTCTAGGTTGTATAAACTTGGTAAGTTTCAGCTGGGTTGTGTAAACTTGGTTCTAGGTTGTATAAACTTGGTAAGTTTTAGCTAGGTTGTGTAAACTTGGTTCTAGGTTGTATAAACTTGGTAAGTCTTAGCTGGGTTGTGTAAACTTGGTTCTAGGTTGTGTAAACTTGGTAAGTTTTAGCTAGGTTGTGTAAACTTGGTTCTAGGTTGTGTAAACTTGGTAAGTTTTAGCTAGGTTGTGTAAACTTGGTTCTAGGTTGTATAAACTTGGTAAGTTTTAGCTGGGTTGTGTAAACTTGGTTCTAGGTTGTGTAAACTTGGTAAGTTTTAGCTAGGTTGTGTAAACTTGGTAAGTTTTAGCTAGGTTGTGTAAACTTGGTTCTAGGTTGTATAAACTTGGTAAGTTTTAGCTGGGTTGTGTAAACTTGGTTCTAGGTTGTGTAAACTTGGTAAGTTTTAGCTAGGTTGTGTAAACTTGGTTCTAGGTTGTATAAACTTGGTAAGTTTTAGCTAGGTTGTGTAAACTTGGTTCTAGGTTGTATAAACTTGGTAAGTTTCAGCTGGGTTGTGTAAACTTGGTTCTAGGTTGTATAAACTTGGTAAGTTTTAGCTAGGTTGTGTAAACTTGGTTCTAGGTTGTATAAACTTGGTAAGTCTTAGCTGGGTTGTGTAAACTTGGTTCTAGGTTGTGTAAACTTGGTAAGTTTTAGCTAGGTTGTGTAAACTTGGTTCTAGGTTGTATAAACTTGGTAAGTTTCAGCTAGGTTGTGTAAACTTGGTTCTAGGTTGTATAAACTTGGTAAGTTTTAGCTAGGTTGTGTAAACTTGGTTCTAGGTTGTATAAACTTGGTAAGTTTTAGCTAGGTTGTGTAAACTTGGTTCTAGGTTGTATAAACTTGGTAAGTTTCAGCTAGGTTGTGTAAACTTGGTTCTAGGTTGTGTAAACTTGGTAAGTTTTAGCTTTCTTTTCCCACAAAAACATCTGAACAATATATGTTATCTGTGCAACTTGTACTAATACCTACCTAGAAAGCTGTGGCCTGCATGTTCCAGCATTGAACAGGGTGGGAGAGGCATGTGTAAACCATTTCTCAGACAGTAAGTTGTAGGTCTGAAATTGTAAACAAGGGATCATCCACCAAGTACAGTAGTAAACCCAATATTCTCAAGCTCTCCGAGTTGGACTTGTATAATCAGAGCAGGCCATAACAACTTTCTGATTCTCAAGCTCTCCGAGTTGGACTTGTATAATCGGAGCAGGCCATTACATTTTTCTGATTCTCAAGCTCTCCGAGTTGGACTTGTATAATCGAGCAGGCCATTACAACTTTCTGATTCTCAAGCTCTCCGAGTTGGACTTGTATAATCGGAGCAGGCCATTACAACTTTCTGATTCTCAAGCTCTCCGAGTTGGACTTGTATAATCGGAGCAGGCCATAACAACTTTCTGATTCCATGAGAATAAAAACATGACAAATCTCTATGTTTGAATCATTGAAAAAAAGATTTCTAAATCCTCTAAATCTGTAAGTATTTTGAACACATAAACCCACTGAAGTAGCCTTTTCTGAAATATATTCTGATCTACATTATTAAATTCTTATTTGACAAAATGTTTAGCAAACTCAGTGTTAAGTTTCACATCAATGTTCTGCATTACATCACCACAAGGTAGGAATTTATCTGCAATTTATCATTAAATGAAAATTTGAAAAAATCTTAAGTTTCATAAAAATCTAGAAAGTGGAATATTTTATTGTTGATATATTCTGAAAACATTCGCAATATTAACTTCATAGAAAAAGTTTTATTTAATAAACCGAACAAGTATCAAGTCATTCTCTACTTTTCCAACTTACACCAGCAGATCTGTATTAATTCTAGTAACCGTTTTTCTGTATGTTTGTCAACTTCTTGATTTATATTTAGAAGAGATGTATAATAAACATTTTATTTATTCCTGCAATGTGAACGCTGTTGTCTCACCTCGATTGCTGCATCAATATCTTGCTCGTGTATACCCACAGCCACCCTCATCAACATGTGCTGGGGGCGTTCAGCCACTGAAACACCAGGTCGTCACAAATCAAATCCAAATACATACATTATTAAACACTACTTATTTTTTCACATTACAATGAAAGTAGATGTGCAAAGAGGTTTAAATATTGTTTGTAAAATGCTCTATATCAATGGAAATGTCTAGTAGAAACTTGACATTCCATGTATTCTATGAATTATACTATTCCATGTATTCTATGAATTATACTATTCCATGTATTCTATGAATTATACTATTCCATGTATTCTATGAATTATACTATTACTGTATTCTATGAATTATACTATTCCATGTACAATTCCATGTGTTCTATGAATTATACTATTTCATGTATTCTATGAATTATACTATTCCATGTATTCTATGAATTATACTATTTCATGTATTCTATGAATTATACTATTCCATGTATTCTATGAATTATACTATTCCATGTATTCTATGAATTATACTATTTCATGTGTTCTATGAATTATACTATTCCATGTGTTCTATGAATTATACTATTCCATGTGTTCTATGAATTATACTATTTCATGTGTTCTATGAATTATACTATTCCATGTTATTATTCCATGTGTTCTATGAATTATACTATTCCATGTGTTCTATGAATTATACTATTCCATGTATTCTATGAATTATACTATTACGTGTATTCTATGAATTATACTATTCCATGTATTCTTTTAATTATACTATTTGCACCATCCTAATCTATAAGTTACCTCATGTCAAAAAATCTGCTTTTTATAGGATAAGTACTTTTTCCACTCTGAACTTCCAAACAAATTCAAAGAAAACTGATTTAAAGTAAAATAACTTTGTTCAACAAGTTCAAGGAATAACACTGATTGGGATCATTTCCTCAAGAAGGTAAAATTCATTCAAATATAAACACATCACACTCAGGATAATAATGACTTCCAATATCACAAGTTTCATCCTGGTTACTCTTACAAATGGTTTTCCCTTGGTTTCTAGAACTACATATATGATGGTTTCTATGACTACATATATTGTTTCTATGGCAACAAGTATTACTGTTTCTAGGACTACAAGTATTAGAAAGTTTGAGTCAAGGATAATACCTTTTCCATCCATTTTCAGCAAATAAGAACGTTCCAGTGTCTTGAATCCAAAGTAGTTGTAACTGAAGTCACGATCGTAGATGAGAGCTGAATTCAATCGCTGCAGAAATAAAACATGATATCACCGTGATGAAGATATTGTGTCTAATGTCCGTGATGAAATAACTGACAAGGCATGGTCAATTAGACAATTATCCAAAAGTTCCAGCAATTGCCTATATTCATTTTAGTGTCTCAAAAGTGTGACTTTTAAAATATCAAAATTTGTGTAAATCAGCTCTGACAGTGATTAGTAGAAATACACACAAATCCTATCTAATTGGTTCCCTGGCCTTAATGTAGGGTAAACAAGTTCATGACATGTACCACAGAAAAATGACTATTCTAAAATATCAGATTATCGAACTTTAATATCAAATAAATATTTTATATCTAATCCTTTGGGCTTTTGATAGTAACTACAATAAGATGAAAACAGTTGTATCCCATCTTGATAGTTTCCTAAACATTAGGTTTTCATTTGATTGTTTCCTAAATATTGGGTTTTCATTTGACAGTTAAGCATCAGAAGACAGAATACTACAGTACCAACAACTTCATTAGGTCTAGACGAAGCAGAAGATCTAGACAAATTCTTAAAATAGAGAAATAAACATACGTCACAGTTATCCATGATAATCTTGTGGATCTTCGGAGAGACCATCGGGGAGTGCTTTCTGGTCTTGGGGTTGATCCAGTTGTAAAGATCATTCATAACCTCTGAAACAAAAATGAACCAAACTTAACATTTTAACGTTTAGGTTAGCAAGGACAGAACATCATCTGGATGAGCTATCACAACACTATTGCCAAACATTACCGTGTGTACGCAGAATTCATTGTAACTGAACACCATATAAACACTAGACATACCCAGTTACATCATGATCCTGTGGAGCATCTAGACTTCAGACTAACTTGTACCAGATATAAATGACCACTTTGTAAATATGGATTGAGAATCTTTACCGCCCCAGCCTACTGGCTTGTGCCAGATACCAACCATTCTCACATGGAACTGATAAAACACTTGCTGAACATGCCGTTAATGAAGTCACAATACAGAGAAAATATCTTCTGACAATATGTATACACATCATTTGTTATTTTACCAAATCATTTATTTTCTTTTTGTATACAATATTAGAGAGGGGATGTATGTTATGTAGGGACAGGTGTGTTGGTGTACTTTTAGTATAAATTGATAGAGAGGGGATGTATGTTATGTAGGGACAGGTGTGTTGGTGTACTTTTAGTATAAATTGTTAGAGAGAGGATGTATGTTATGAAGGGGAAGGTGTGTTCATGTACTTTACAATCATTGTTCAAGGACTAAGAACAATCAAATTCCGCCTTTTTTGCTACTGTTTGTATTGAAGTCTATAATGTTGCCGAATAGTAGCTATGATTTCTCGCCAAAACTTCTTTGTATCATGTGATCATTACAAAAATCCTCAAGATGTCATTGTATTATAAGCCATATTTTACACTTTAACTCTATAACACCATTGTATAATTGTTCTGATGATGGTAGACAGAAATATGCTTCATCTCTTATAAACCTGCCAGTAATTATAACATTTAATTTCCATTTAACCATCAATAGGATTCTACAGAGTGAACCTTCAATTGTTACGGAGAATATACACACCACTGAAGACTTTTTTAGTTTCCTTATGAAGGTTTGATACTGCGATTCTTGCTGCCAGCTGGGCATAGTCTGGATGTTTGGTGGTCATGGTGGCCGCAGTCTCAGCTGCCAAGTTGTCCAGCTCAATAGTAGTGACTCCAGGGTAGAGGCCATTGATGACTTTTAAAGTGATGGCAGTCTGGAGAACAAACAATAAAAAACCAAGGATGTAAAACATTGAACAATAAAACTAAATAATAATGTACAGAACGTCCTAAGGATACATATATGTAACTTTTCCCTGGATTTAAAGTTTCTCATCAGAACTGACTGTTGATCTACCATATACATACACAGTCAAGTTGAAACCCGAGCACTTATCTTTAAAATGAAATTTCTTTTTGCATTCTTTTAACTTATAGTAAGCAGACATTTTTGTCTGAAAGCCCACCTCGTATAAAGTTGACGTTGGATATCGAGACCAATCTAGCCTTTGTTTACATTCATATTTCTAGTTCATCCTATCTGTAAACTGTACATGTGGTAACTTCACAGGAGGCAGTTAATTCCATCAGATATATCTCATTGAACATTCTCCATTTACCAAATAATTTAATAATCATACCGGGTCAACAAAGTCGGAGTTCAGTCCGTAACACAGCTTTTGGATCCTAGAAGTAATCTTGTCAAACATGACCTTTTCCTTGCGCCCATCTGAAACCAAAGTAAAGTCACAGCTAAATCAATGACTACATTTTTTTCGTAGAATCGGGCGGGATGCATTCCTTTAAACAGCAAAATCTTACCACATTCGCACTTTTTTTCTTAAACTTAACATAAAACTACATTTTTGTACATATATCATAACTTTTCTAACGAGTCTGCAAAAGTATGACGAAATATTTTGTCAACATGAGCCATGGCCCACGACATGGGAACATATTCGGCATCATTTCGGGACCGAAATTTCGATGCAAAATAAAAATAATATTGTAAACTAAATTTTCTTCCTTACCTCTCTTGTTGACAAACATTTTCGTGAAATTTAAAAGACCTTCTCAGACAGGAACGTTGATGTAAATTTGGTTAGCAGCTGACTGGCTGATTCTTTGTTGCTGTTTCCCCCCCTTGAAATGAGCGCCAACTGCGATCACCTGACTACTATTCCCGCACTTCTCAGTCCCGCCCACATTCACTCGGCCGCTCAGACGTTTACTTATCACAGGAAGTTTAAGGAAACGTGCAAGAGACATAGACTGTACTTTCCATGAGGCACCGAGAGGGGTAACGAAAATACTTGTGTTTTTTATAAGCCTATTCCAGAGGGTGACAGGCAGGTGGGTAATAAATATAAGTCGTTTCTGGACAAAGACGGAAGTCGTTTTTATACTTATTTTTTAAAAGAAACTAGTGTTGAACATTGTTAGATATTTAAGTTATCAAATAAAATATATAGAACTTGTACTTTGTGTATATTTGTAAAACAAAATAATACAAGTTTTTAATCATTTGTAAATAATGAAAATGGGGCTTATGGAAATCAGGGTCCAATGCGTACGTCCCCAAGTTCTGGCTACACATATCTTGTAAAAATTTGATGCCTTGTTATTAAATGTTTTTACATTTTTAAATAAAAAACTAAAACGTATAATTAGTTGTCGTCTTTTGTTTTGCTTTTTGTTTTTTTTTTTTTCTGTTGAAATGGTTTACTTCATAGTTCATAATTCATAGAACTTAAATTAATCAGTATTTGGAAGCCCCAGTCAACCCTGCAAACCCTCATGCATTCACTGGAACCGCAGGTGACCCCGTTTGACCACAGACTTAAAATTTCTTTGTCCGTGGTCAGACATTAATGTGATACGGGGTGAGGTGACGTCACAGAAAAAGTTTATTAAGATAATCTGACATGTGAATAAACTCCCCCACTCCCACCCACCCCCACCAATTGAAAAATAATAAAATAAGATATATTTTATGTTATTTTGGGAGATAATACTCGTTATGAACAACACCAGATAATTAGGCGAAACCACGTGACTGCATTATTTAGCAACTGCTATGCTGTATTTGTTTTTGCTCGTTTCTCTCCGTCGATGTGGTTTTCAATGTTACGTGTATACTTCTAATGGCGGCTACTTGTTGCTATAAGTTGTGTCTCATACAACTAGCCTTAAGTGGTGCACTATTAAAAGGGATAGGAACTGTGTCGATGGCAAATACATATTTAAAAACAAAATAATTGGCGGCGATTTTCCCCTCCGACTCCGTAATTCCGCCAACGTGAATGTGTACACCCACATCTGTGTCCATTACAATGGCACGCATGAAACACAGGATTATCTGTAAACGTGTAGCAACAGAGTTATTGCAACGCCTAGGTTACCTCGGATTTTTCTGACATACTATCGAAACGACTTTTTCAAACGGTTTACTCCGGATCGATATACGTATTTAAACGTTGATAGAACGTCAGAATAATATAGACTGGACTGGACACTCTCTACCAAATACTAATTATGATATAATCATTCATTATAGAAATAAACACAGATCTTTTTGGTTAAAATGGATCATCGGCTTTATTCAAAACCAAGAAAAGAATTTATATGCCATATAAATAAATCATACATATACATTTATCGCTTAAATCTAAATAACTACTTTAATACGCTTCGCTAGGTTGATATTTCATCACAAGTGAATTGTTTTCGTTTGGTATCAGTCAATTTCTTGTCGCTAAGCAAAACCAACATTAAAGGTATTTTTGTTTTACTTGGTAAACTTCATTGTTTTCCTTATTTGTAAGTCTATGTACATTCAGTAGATACCACACACCTACAGGGTAGTAATGCTACTGGACTAGTGTGATTCAGGCCACGTGTTTGTACTTTAGTACTTATAAAACTGAGTGTTTTCTTTGGTGATCACAAAATCACGTCAGAGCCAGAAAGGCACTTGTAGCCAATGGATCAATATTCGATTTCCGTTCCGTAACCAGCTATTGTAGTTACTATATAGATATTTATTGATACAACTGTATACACACGCCAATAAACCTGTATTTACCGTATTCTACCTAATACTTCACCTTCTCAGCATAACTTGCGCGCGCGCGCGCGCACACACACACACACATATATATAGTTTTCGAAAATTGAATCGGTATGTCTAGATTCTATATCAGCTTAGCTAAGGAGGTGCAAAATAGCAGGGGTGTACAGTGTTTTTATAAGTCCTTAGAAATAGAGATGAAAGTACATATATAACTTGACAATTAAATTTATGCGTGATGTTCTTTGATATTCGTCAAACAACTTTCGACTGTATTGTAATTGCAAAACATTTTTTTTTAATTATTAGTTTCGGCACTCTAACGTCGTCGCGTTGGTGATTCAATGGGACAACGTAATGGAACTAACGCGACAATCCAGATAACGCGACCGAATTAACGAATAGTTTTACAAATTATTTGACTAGTCTATCAAAGATTTTATCGAAAGGAGATATATATATATATATATATTGTACATGTGCCATAGATATCAACGTTTCACTTATTCCAAAATGATACCACAATAGCACAGTTCAGTGGTCCACAGACGGCAATTAAGATTTAACTTATCTAACTGGAAATAAATTCATCTAAAAATGAGTTAGTGAATGAATACACAACATACCAGTACCAATTACTCGCGTTGACGAAGAAAAAGAACTTAGTGTAATAGCAGACACAAATCTAAAATGATCACCACTCTTACAACAACAAGTGGAAATAGTCAATAGGAATCTAGGTATAGTTTGAAGTATTTTCTGACACACGAATAAGGCTTTTTTCCCTTAATATATACTAGGTTTTAGTCCAGCCACATCTACAATATGCTTTCCCAGTCCGGGCGGTCATCTAAAAAATGCTTTCGCCCTGAAACATGTCCAAAGGCAAGCAAAGGAACTGGTAAAATTTAGTCGCAATCAATCCCACCTAGAAAAGATTCCTTGCATTAGGATTTTCCTCCCTTCTATACAGTAGACTTCCAATGGACACGATAGTAGTGTACCGTATTATGCCAGGCATTGATAAGTGCAGCATACATCAATTACCTTAGAAAATCCAACTAAGGACGAGATACCATTAAAAGAAAACTAATGTAGACTAGACTTTAGAAATGACTCGTTGTTACAACGCATAATTAATTCGTGGACTACTCTGACTGAAAAGAAGTATCATCCAGCACACTCAACGAAACAAAAGGAAATCTGAATGGGCATCGGTTAAACACAACCCATTAAATTTAGATCAGACTGCTTTCCGCTTTTGCCAGAACCAGAAAACACAATTGTGATGGCGAAGACTGGCATGTACCCACAAAAAGACCTTGACAGGTAACGGGTAACGGGTATCATTCTTAGGAAAACATAAACCAAACAGCAGTATTCAAGGAAAACACAAACCAAACATCATTAGACAGGGAAAACACATACCAAACATCATTGGACAGGGAACACATACCAGACATCATTAGACAAGGAAAACACACACCAAACATCATTAGACAGGGCATACACACACCAAACATCATTAGACAGGGCAAACACATACCAAACATCATTAGACAGGGCAAACACATACCAAACATCATTAGACAGGACAAACACATACCAAACATCATTAGACAGGGCAGACACATACTAAACATCATTGGAGAATGAAAAGACATAGCAAACATTTGTACACAAAGAAAACACATACCGAACATCAGAACACAAGGAAAACACATACCGAACATTAGAACACAAGGAAAACACATACCGAACATGAGAACACAAGGAAAATACACACCGAATATTAGAACACAAGGAAAACACACACCGAACATTAGTGCACAAGGAAAACACACACCGAACATTAGAACACAAGGAAAACACACACCAAACATTTGTACACAAGGAAAACACATACCGAACATTTGTACACAAGGAAAACATACACCGAACATTTGTACACAAGGAAAACACACACCGAACATTAGTGCACAAGGAAAACACACACCGAACATTTGTACACAAGGAAAACACACACCGAACATTTGTACACAAGGAAAACACATACCGAATATTAGAACACAAGGATAACACATACCTAACATTTGTACACAAGGAAAACACACACCGAACATTTGTACACAAGGAAAACAGAAGATACACACCAAACATTTGTACACAATGAAAACACACACGAACATTAGAACACAAGGAAAATACACACCGAACATTAGTACACAAGGAAAACTCACACCGAACATTAGTACACAAGGAAAACACACACCGAACATTAGAACACAAAGAAAAAACACACCGAATATTAGAACACAAGGAAAACACACACCGAACATTAGAACACAAAGAAAACACACACCGAACATTAGTACACAAAGAAAACACACACCGAACATGAGAACACAAGGATAACACATACCGAACATTAGAACACAAGGAAAACACACACCGAACATTAGTACACAAGGAAAAGATAAGAAATTCAAAAGCATTCAAACACAAGGTAAGGACATACAAAAAACGGAAATACATACTAAATTTTAAATATTTAAACATAACTCATATAGAAGCATCGTTGATACAAAGAAATTCACATTTTATAAATATCTTACAACGATAACTATGCCGATTCGTATTGCATATTTTTTTTGCAGTAAATGTTTTAGCGTATCAAGATATACCATTACGTTATCGTATAAATTGGTTATTAAGGAGGTAATGTATGATTTTATTTCTGAACTACAGGTTAAACGTATGTTTCTTATGACGTACATGGAGATAATAATTGTATTCTTAACTAATATCACGTCCTTGGCAAGTACAAGTAGATTCTATTTGTATTCCGTAAATCTGATCTTAACTTAGCTATCAATTTCTCAAGTAGCTATACGATTAGTTAGTAAAGTAACAGTGCATTCAATTGGGGTAAACTGATTCAAATTCCTGTACAATTCTTAATGTGGTTGCATTGAAATTACCACTGTGATTATATAGATATGTGATATTCACTAAAGGACCCATTTTGTAGAATACTTACGGTCTGT